GCCCCACCCTGAGGGGGCCACTGAAGAGGTTCCCGCGGCCCCTCGGGCTCGTGTCTTCCTTGCTGTGAGGGCCCCCATGAGAGCCCACAGTGTGAGGTGTGGCCCTCAGCACAGGGGGATGGATGGTCACTGCCCTGCTCCTGCTGCCACAGCACTGCTGGCACTGCCCAGGGGCCATTGGCCTTGTTGCTCACCTGGGCTCATGTTCAGCTGCTGTCAGCTTGATGTGGCTTTCTGTGCCAGTGTGATCACTGAGTCATGGCAGTCATCCCCTCAGCACCCAGCCCCTCCCCACTGCTGGGAGCAGAGAAAAAGGGGACCGTAAACAACTGTGTGCAATACATGGGGTACAGGTATAACACAGGCACCTAATCCTGGGGTGTAACACTGAAGTGGGGTTTGGGCTACTGTGTCCAGCTTGCTCACCTGGGGACGGGTGGGGATTGTGAAGAGGTCAGCCTTCCTCACAGGGTCTGAGGCTTGGGAAATGCGATTTGTGAGGAAACACAGGACAAGTTGAATCTAATAAGACAAAAGGGGATGTGGTAGGAGTGTTCAAGCATGTAAAAGCATGATGTGAAGAGAACAATCTGTTTCCCTCTGTGTGACAGGAATAGCAAGAAGAAAGAGGCCTAAATGATAACCTGGACAGTTCAGGCTGTCATCTCTGAAACATTAAAAGTCCTGCAAGGATGGCAATAGATGGCTTGGGAGATCATACACGCTTCAGTTGGATCTGCAGCAGCAACACCTCTCAGAAAGGATACATCACTCACCTGGGATTCAGAGCAGAGAGCTGAGCCATGAAGATTCCATCCAAATCCCTCACAGTGCCATCCTTTGACAATGCACTTATTATTTATCAGCTGCCTCCTCAGTGTGTGCCTGAGCTGAGTGCCCTGATACTGTGTTGCATCAAATCCTGCTGTTCTGGTTTGATGCCAAATCAGATACAGCATCAGAAGAATCTCCTCTCATAACCTATTTCCTCAGATATTAATAACTGCACTAAATGCAAAGAACTAGAAAAACAGGTCAGTAATGTCTGCAGAGTATAAAATACTTTCTGCAAAGTCTTATGAAACAATTAGAACATTCAAGAAGTCATATTTGGGTACTACCAAAGCAAATTACTGTCACTTTGAAATCCAAACACAGGGTATTTAATTGTGATGATCTTCATAAACTGCTGCTCAGTTTTTCCCCTTATTTAAACCTAAAATCAACAACTTTTATAATGGAAAAAGGAAGGATAATCTTTACATGCAGGTCTTAGATAAATGGCCTCATGCAGCTTTAAATGTTGATGTGACAATAACAAAATATGTCAAAATGGAAGCCTATCTAAATAAAGCTACTGTCAATCAATTCTGACAGTGTATAAATGACATACATTAGAGTAAAATGAAATAAGGCTTATTCAAGTCAAGCAGTGATTTATAAAACTGAAATGTAGAAATGTCAAAAACTTACAGTGAACACCAGATGGATAACTTGACTTGTTAGAAAAACTGCTCAGGAACTGGTGCTTGTGCTGCTGGACAGCTGGTCTCGTGCTGACAGTCCAACAGACCCAATTTACACTTGCAGATCTCACATAGAAATTGAACATGACCTTTTAACATTCTCTTTTTCTTTGTGACCAAAAGAAAGGCTCCAAATAGATTTGTAACACACTGCATGTGATTTGGCTTGAAGGAAGGGCAGATTTTCCAGAAAAGTCAGGAAGTTCACCACACAAAAAAGTTTTTATATAGCATGACTTGTATTCTGATTTAAAAATAGCTTCACTGATACTCCCTTACAATTTAACTTACAATAGTGATGCATTTGCTATGCAAGTGGTTAAAATAATGGAGGGAGCAGAAAAACCTTTCTCTTCCCCCTCACCCCCGCATTCATACCAGAATGGTCTTGAATTTTATTACACAACTGGTTTAACTGTGTGCTGGGAAGGGTCTGTTGTATTTTGACATGGAGAAGAATATGATTTTCTCTGCTTTTTTTCTCTGATTCTTTTGCTTTTTCTCTGATTTCTTTCCTAATGTATAGGATATAATGAATTTCATATTAATAAATGTGGTCTTGCAGGTTGTGTAGGCACTTGTCACTTGTCAACCCTTGAGATACACAGCAAAGAGGGTTTTTGTAGTGTTAGTAATGCATCAAACAAAGAAAACAAAGCATCCTGAGTGCTATTTCAGAATCTAATCAAATCATATTTCTGACTTGATTGCTCATAGGATTTGCTTTGTCTACACATGCCGCAAGTAGTAGGACTTAATTCACATTTTGTACATGTGATTTATTAAATACTGATGGGAAATTTGACATTTAAACCAATAAAAGATATTAGACTTAACTCACTATTAGATTTTTTAATGGAAAGACATTTCTTATACAGGCAGGAAATTGCAATAACACATTTACTGATTTATTGCAATATTTTACTCTCGAATCTTCAAAATGAACTGTCGTAGCTCTTCACAGTTAATAGAATTGGGGGTGAACTGGGATCAGCCATGGAAGGGACTGGACAGTGCAGCAATTGCCATTACCTTGGGGCTCTGCCTAAACAATGGTGTTCATGGAAACACAGGTAGGTTAAACTCACCTCTTTCTGGCTAAAGGAAGAATTTTGAAAAGACTCTTGTATTGAAAAGAGAAAAAACAAATCTAACAATGGTCCTACATAAATCTCAACCCAGTAACAACGATTAATTTGACACAGTGGGGTCGGGATCAGAGCAATCCCAATTTCATGTGACAGCTGTTAGAAATTATATTCTTGGTAAGGCCCCTGCTCATTTACACGATGTATTTTCAGTTTGTCTGAGTGGTCAGTGAGGCT